CATTTCCCATTCAGTCTCTCCTCTTCCCCTTCTTTTCCTTCCTCCCAGAAGTTCCCTCCCCTCTAGCAGATCATATCACAGAAGAGTGTAACACCCACCCTGAGTTAAATGAAGGTAGGAGGATGGAAAGCAGCAGGACAAAGGCTGCAGCTTGGGCTGCAGGACCCTCAGACTCTGAGACTGCAATTGTCTCAACACCCACCATAAAACATCACCTGTCTTTATTCTGCGCTTACTAGACCTACAAGACTGATCTTGAGACCTACAAGATCAAACTCTGAGGACAGTGTTCTCTCTAACCTCCAAAGTAACTCTAGTTCTGGCCAAAACACTGAGCTGAAACAAACCCACAGCTAATCCTGAACTGCACTCAGACGAGCTCTCCTCTATCCTTGTGGATGTTACAACATCTAGCAGCAAACCTGGCTCTTAAGGCAATGCAGGATTCTGCCCTGCTGAGCACTAACCCCTCCTGCCTGAGGCCAGTGGCCTGTATTTAGCAGAGAATGGGGAAAAAAAAACAACACAAAACAAAACCCAAACCTGTTCAACCCTATCTGCAAATGTTCTATCACCTTCGTAGGTTTCCCTAGACCTGTGCTTGATATCAGTGTATTTAATTCTAATTGCAGTGCTAGCCCTACCCTTATCTACAAGCTAATGACCATACCCTTCTCATAACTAAAAATCAGCCACAAGGCAACAATGGACTTACTCATCAAACGGCTATTTTGAGAAATCTGTAGAATTAAACTGTTCAGCACTGGCCATCCTGGAATCAAACAACAGCTCTAAGCAAGTTTTTTTGATCAGTGTTGTTGCAGATTAGGTGACACATTCGTCCTTACTGATGTCTCCATTACTTTAATGCTCTGGCCTAACCACAGCCATATTAAGCAAGGACTTAACTCCCACATATCAACTCTTACTCTAGTCTTATCCACACTCCAACACCAACACGTACCCAAAAGGCTACCAAAAAACCCTTCATCTCCACCCGCATTAGCTCTCACTCAATCCTAATGACTCCAAGCCTAAAACTCCAGTAACTCAAGTTCTCCAGCACCTGCTGTCCAAAACACTAATCCCCAAACACCACACTTTCAGGACTTCCTAGATTCAGCAATAACAGGTTCTTCCATCCTTACCATCCTGAAATTCCAGCCTACCTACAAGCCAGTACCTCACACCCATCCAAAAATTAGTTATAACTTGCTCATCTAAGCCAGCCTCAGCATTCATCCTACTCTTGGGTCTCCTAAAGCACAGGAAGGAAGGAAGGAAGGAAGGGTGGGGAGAAGAAAAGAAAAAAAGAAGAAAAAAAAAAGGCAAGCTGAGAAGTCTCTACCATCTTGAAACCTAGGCTTAGCCCTAATCCTAACCCTAATTACAACTCACCACCCCTATACCCCTCTCCAGAACTAACAGAAAGCTTTCACCCCGTGCTGGCACCAGCAGGATTTTCATCCTACCAGCAGGGTTCTTGCAGAAGCCAGCTCTGAATCCAAGAACTGTCATTTTAAACCAAATCCTAGCGAAGTGACCTACCTTGCCACAGAACTGACAAGAGGACTTACAGTCATTCCCACGTGAGAATAAACCACAGGAACTGTTCCTGCCCAGAACAGCCCCCATCCCAGTGCAAGGGGCTTTGCAGCATTCCGCAACACATCAAATTTTTGCACTCCTACTGTAGAGGACAAACACTTAACTGGGAATCCGATCCCTTTGCTGCAGTGTGGCACATATCCGGGAAAGAAGGGGGCACATGAACCCATGGGAGAAATTCCACCCAGTCTTCTCCTTCCTTCCATGTTTCCTCCTCTCAGAAAATTCTTTGCTCCCTGGCAGTGACAAGGAGGAGGTAACATATAGAGGAACAGAGGTAGAGAAGGTAAACAGCATCAATCTAAAAGTAAGAGAGAGCGCTTTATTTTCAAGGCTCCTTGGAAACAGCACAACTTCATTCAGTTGCAAAAATAACACCAAGATGAATGGGCCACTTCCCCTTCCCCCTCCAGTCTCTAATATTCTAGGACAGTATGTAAAACCCCTTCACACACTTAGCCCAGATCTAGTGTGGGGACTTTACGTGCCCACAAACCCATCTCTTCCTGCCCTCTTGACAGCACATACACATCTCCCATGTGCTTCCTTCCCCCTGCACAACAGTCCTTTCAGGCTTATCAGGGGTATGAAGCAGCCATGAAGGGAATGAAATTACTGTATTTGCGAGAAACACCTGGGAGCAGCCGCGACATCAAAGTCATCACAGCAAAAGTTGCTTCTGCCTCTCAGTACTCCACTGATATCACCTCAGGCCCAGTGGCACAGCTCCCAATTAAATGCAGCCAGAGCAAACAGGCATCCGACTGAGAACATCATATAGACATTGGTACGAAAGGTGACAGTCTTGTTACGGCTGTTTTCTTTGCACGGCAGCTGGCAGGGCTGCAGCGTGCTGCTGCACCAGATCATCACACGGCATCCAGCAGCGGCGCGCACAGACCTGAATCACTGTCTGCTTTAATGTGTAACAGCTATTTCCTTAGCATAGGCAATCAGTTTTATAATTCATGCAAGCCATCTTCTCAGCATGTTTGTAAACAGTGTTCACTACCATTCTGATGTACAAACCTCAGCTGTTTGATTTTCTTTTCTAAAACTAATTACAAAAAAGATTATTTTTTTTTAATCACAGCACAGCTAGTTTTGGGGGATCCTCAACAAACCAAATCTTTGCTCCTAATTTTCTACTCTGATTGCATTTATTCTTAAGTGAGAGAAATAAAATCAAATAAAGCAATGACACTGTTGCAAAAGTAAAACAAAAGACTATTCCTTAGTGGGAAAAAAAAAAAAAAGAAAAATTCCAAATGCATTACATGTTCAATTTGAAACATTGTTGGGAAAAAAAAAAATCTTTAGAGCTCCAAACAATTCAAACTGTTTCCCTGACAGATGCACTAAAGAAAACTAGTTAGGGGAAAAAAAAGGAATAGAAAGCTAAAATGTTTTCTGTTTGAATTGCAGCTACTACAAAAAAGTGATTGACTGGAAAATGGAAACCCCCCTCTCAGATACACTTGCCTACATCCTATTTTCAGTCCCTTCACCTAGTTTCCCCTCTGGAAAACCCTGGCTGCAGGAGAAGTCACACAGACTGGCATACCTAAAATGGGCAGCATATTTTCATCACCACATGTCTGCTTTCACAGCACAAAGGCAACTAAAAAGTCCCAAATTTATTTCAGGAAACCTCTGGCACGTTATAACACTGTTTTGCCTCTGCCCCCACACCCATGCTCAAAATTCACTGAGGGAGCAGACTTTAAGCTGTACAGCCAGCAGCAGACACACAGAGTTCAACTCCATTCAGCCTCCTGGTGACCACCTGCCAACAGGGAACTGGAACAAGGTCAACCTGGAACTAGTAAGCGGGTGGCCCCAGGGTGGTAAATGGTGGAATTTCAGCTACCACACGGACTAACAAAATCTACTGACATCAAAACTTAAAATAGGGCATTGAGTCTTTGCTTCATTAGACTGCATTCATCTGATCAATCAGGTTCTTAAAACAAGGGGAACATCATTTCCACTACTGCTCAGCTTGGGCATGAATGCCCTGTTACCCAGAACTCCTTTCCTAAATCTCCCCACCTGCAGCTGGCACTGCTAATCTAGCACTGTGTACCTGACAAATTTGAAATTTTCAAGCCAGCAACCACCACAGGGAACAGAAATGGAACTTTACACACTACACAGTTAACTGCTCACGGAATGAACAGTTTTGCTGTCATTTAACTAGCCAACCTCATCCATAATTTTCACAAAGGCTTTTTACACAACAGCTAGAGTTAGTGGTATAGTGTGCAACAAAATACATCCTTTTGTTTATCTTATTATAGAACACCAGTACCCATTAATACTTGAAATTACTGCTACATTTTTAAGGATAATTGTACTCTCTGTACAACTCACTGCTAGATCAGGTAAAAATCCTGAACTGAGGAGAGAATCTGTCTGGAAATTGGATGTCTGAGCAACAGGCTGCATGTACCACAAGCGCCCCAACACGAACTGTTTCAAGTTTCTGTAACTGCTACACACACGCAATGTCTGTGTCTGCAGAAAGCCTGAAGAATTAAACCTGGTGTCCTCTTCCCTGTTTTCAGAACCGGAGCAGAACTGAGGTGCCAGCTGCAGCAAAATGACGTCAATACTTAAAAAAGTGAAGCACAACCAGGCCGAGCTGTGCCGTGGGCTCCATCTAGTGGGGCTCAGCTCCATTCCCCAGCGCTACCGCCGAATCGCTCATCTCCGCACCAAAATGGGTGAGAAACAGAACTGCAGCATGTCACAGTGTCTGGGAATGATGACCTCTCACATGTTCACAGTGACCTTCGAAAAGCCTGACAGTCCTGATGTAAACTGTTACTATAAATATGGAAGTGTATCTTTAAAATTGAGGGGTAGGGGGTTGCTTAGTGGGTTGTGAAAGTTGACTGAACAAAATAACTGGTTCTTTCTTGTTTCTGGCAAACAGCTGCCCAACTGAAAAACCAAAATTCAGCACTTAAATGTAAGCTTCAGATATGATACTGAGCTTAAGAAACACTAGGACTTTTACTTTTTGCAAGCTCAAAATACTAGATGTCTTATTTTGTTCTAGTTACTCAGCTTTATTCCATATTTAAAATTTAGCTTTTGAAGGATTAAAAGATTTACATGCCTCTTAAATATTTTAATGTAAAAAAAAAAAAAAATTAATTATTTCAGTATCCATTAACAGCTGACTAAAAATATAAGAATAAAGACAATATGAAAGAGGCCAAGATTTAGACCTATTTTATAAACAGACTGAAAAGGATACACAGTATCTAATAGCCTATTAATGCTTAAAGCAAAGAAAAAAAAGATTTGTGGTGTTTTCAAAGTACCTGAACATTAATTGTACATTACCCTGCTAGCCAATGGACCTGACAGTGTGCAAGACCTACCTGTGGGCTTGTCTTTCTAAAAGTATCAGTTCCATGTATCACGTCCTTTATTATCCTTTCTCTGAGATTATTATACTCCTCTTCAGTGAGGTCACTGTCCTCCAACTGATGTTTGCAAACTGGGCACAGTCCGCTGTAACAATAGTGAAACAAGAAAATAAAAGGATAAAGGCTTTTAAATAAGAAATACCTTAGATTTTACTAACTTATTGAGTGCCTGACTATGAGCACAATTCTTTACAGGAACTCCAGCACAGTACAACCATCAGAAAATTAGCTGTACTCTTTCTGGGATGCATCCAAAACCTGCTAAAGTCACTAGAAAAATTTTCTATGTGATTTAGCGGTATCGGAATCGAAGATTTAACTCTACAGATGTTTGAGGATTTAGGACTTAAACTCTGTGTGAGAACATGGGAAAAAAGAAAAAAAGAAAAAAGAAGAGTATTTAAATATGCACCAGCATTCATTTAGGCCTTGAGAGTTCAATTCTCAGCATTACCACAAACTTCCACATCTCTTAATATTTGGAAATTTCCCTACTACAAAGGAAGGTCCCCATAGACACACACAGCCCAGATCTCCACGTGGGAAGGTGATGCAGTGGCACTGGCCTGGCCAGGACATATGTAGTAGCTGTAGGCATACCAGCTTGAAGCTAGCAGGCAGGCCACAGAGCCTTGGTCTGGCTATAAACCCATTCCAAGCTGTTACATCAGTGAAATGCTCCACTGTTGTGCCACTGACTGCGCCTACAAAAAAGCTAAGCTACCTGTGCCTGGTTTATCAAGGTGTGGAATAACCAAACCTGCCACAGGTGTAGGAATAACCCCACCCTAAAGAAATGGGGGTAAGAAAGAAAAGGTAACATAAATCTGCTGTATGGTTGGAAAAGCAAATCATGAACTAGATGGCTCCTTTGTACCATTTGTCTTTTGCTATCAGACGTCCCCTATTTCTCAGCCAAGACTGTTTGTTCAGATCTTTCCAAGGTGGTCAAATTGCACAGACTGAGAGCACGGTGTGACTAAAACAGGAATCCTGTTTGCTTTGAAAGCCCTCAGCAACACTAAGTCACACTGGCACTGCGTGTCTGTACAATGCCCAACTCTACCAGAGGTTTCCTCCTATCAGGCTGACTGAACCCCAACAGAAAGCAGCTTTACATTGCTGTCTCCTGGCGATTCATCACTGCTTGTTTCTTTATTGCTGAGAAACTTCTGCTCCTGCTCTGTAGCACAGACTAAATATCATCACATGGATCTAGGCACGCAGACTGCTGCAGATGAACAGGCTCTGCAGCTTCAGTCTACCAATGCCATCATTTAGTGTTCATTTCCCAGAGCCAGAAACACCACTCCACCATGTGTCAGTGACTGTGTGACTGCTTGCAGCACCGAGACACTTTATCGTTCACATCATCCCCTTCTCAGAACTCTCCGTTTCCCCGTTGCAGGGCCGGCAGCTACGATAACAACTGTGGTTCCACAAGCCCCAAATCATACATTGTTTTGTCTCTGCACACAAGGAACTCTCCACTAATCCATCCATGTATGTTTTTAATACTAAAAGATCAAAGAGATTGAAAATCCATCGTAACAGAAAAAATTACAGAGTAGAATAATAGGGGATGTGAAAAAAAGAGACCTCAATCTCTTCAGTTTCCTCAAGAAGAGTGCTGGCACGTCAAAGCAGATCCTGAAAAATCTTCCAGAACAGCGCAAGCGAGGCAACACTACAGAGAACACGTAGCTCCTGCCAGGCAAGAGGTACCACTTTTTGTCCAAGCAACCTAGTGCTGCAAAAACTCCCCAGCACTGGGAAAGGCCATCAAAACAAACCACAACCATGAGACAATGTCCACTGCTGGAAGTTGGGTTTTTGTTCCTACAGCCTGCTAGCACAGCACACACATAATTCCAAGATGCAAAACAAGACAGGCCTAACTTCCATGGCCACTTCTGGATTTTTGCATGAACCTCCAAAGCTGTATCTTGAGAGAAAGAATAAACATATTTTTAAATATCTAGCCTCTTCTGTTGTTTCATGTCCCACAGCCATGACCTCTCCCTTAACACACAGTCTGAAGGAAATCAAACCAGAACTGTCATCACTTCCATGTCCCATTTGTTCATTCTTTTCTTTCCTACTTGTCTCTCCCATCAGTTCCTAAAACTAAACACATAATCAACACAATGCACAACTCCATACCCAGGTCAAAAATGTCATACACCAGTACCATGAACCTCTGGGCCCACCACAAAGCCAGCATGTAGGGTGGAGTAACAGCAGGAGACGGAGACAAAACAACACTTTCTAAAGACAAACGAATGAGCTATCAATATACACAGACTTCTTGGTACACTTTCTGACTTACATCTCTGATTGTGGGTTAAACCTAGGAATTTTTCCAAGTTTAACTCTTTAATAACTACATGAAAAAGGAAAAAGAAATGGTCAGATAGGACATTAACATACACTAAGGAAATTCACAGTCAGTCATGTCTGTTCTCAAGCACTTCTGCCACAAATATTAGACATGAGATCCAGCTTGCATCTTCCTCACTAGACTGGACACTCCAGCCATGGTACCCAGAAAATAAGCAGAATCTATTAGCTTCTCCAACAGGCAATAAACTGACGCTTAGTCTGAACGGGTCTTTGGTTCTTCTTGGCTGATGAACAATGACTTTTTTCTGCTTGCTCCCACTTAGGCTTCTCTTATATGCAGAATATGTTGTTTCACATTTTTCCTCTCCATCATGCTCTGTTCAGAAGCCTATATTCACCCAGCTGGGCATAGTTTGAACTGAAGGAGTAACCATTCTTCTCTAAATCCACCCAAATATTTTACTTTCACAAGCACAATCTCAGAACTGAATCGCAGGATTTGAGTTTTACGTGTTAAAATGGAAGGAGTTATTCTCCCCTGGCTGTCTCCACACAGATATCCTAGAGGCGCCAAAGCTCAGTCATTGTCATTTTCTAAAATGATGGCAATCAGAAATGTTAAGTTCTCTCAACAACTGATGTCTAGTATACATTAATGCACATACCATAAGACAAGAGTGCATTCATTGCAATGCTGACAGTGCATTTATTGAAGCAAAAGAAGTTACACAGGGAATCCCAGCAACGGACACTCCCTGCTGCGCACAAACAAGGCGCCGGATCCGGTTGCTGACCCCTCTGCGGCCGCTGCAGGCTCAGCCCACACAGCGATAACACGAGCAGGGAGACCGGCTGCTGCTACAGCTGCAAAGTTATCACTAAATACAAGCAATTGCATTAAGGAACTTCACTGTTTGGCAACAGAGAAGAAAGGTCTAACAAACTGTCATGAGGCTATTTCAAAACCTTGAAGCCTGAAGTTTAAGGACCTGTCCCATAGTTAACTTGGGTCCTTCTGTAACTATCACTTGAGATTATTTGAAAAAACAAACCTCCCCCCACCCCAGCGAATTAACTCACCCCAACCACCTACCAACAACCAAAGCTCCTGAAGCCAGTTTCTTCTTGTGAATTCTTGATGTGGATTCCCAAAGGAAGCAGAGGCAAAACAGGCACAAGAAACACTCAGCATCTTGCAAGACCAGACCCCTTAGTCTAACTGCTGCTTTTTCACAACCATACCTTTAAAATTACCTTGCAATTTTTGTAGCTTCTCCTTGATCATTTTAGGATTTCATGCCAAGAAATTCCCACACAGGCGGCTTTCACCCCTTAGGATATACAGCTGTCCTTACAGCTAACTGACCAGTTAGCTACTTTTTTGAGGGACTACTTTTTTGAGCTAGATTTGGAATATCATACCACCTACATATCAATCATGAAGTCAGACACACTACAGTAATTTGAACGCAGGCTCAAAAACCTTGAGCTGCAGCTTTCTGGAAATCCAAAGCTTTTGTAACTCCCAAAGAAAAATGGTCAGCAAACTTCAAGGTTTGTTTGCAGGGGCTCAATCTTCTGACTATCACAGTTCAAAGAAATTAGGAGCTCAGTGCTAGAGGAAGAAAACATCCTGGATATGAGCATCTCAGATATAACTGCCAGTATTTATACAAAATTAGAATAACCTACAGATAAGCTTATTAAATTGTCAAACTCAGTTTAGGAAAAAATAGTTCTTCTGGATTTTTAAACTCAAGACTCATGTTTTAAGACAGTTATGCTGACTCCAGAGATAAGTCCAGTAACAATCACCACATGAGTTTCAGAGATACCTTAAGGGCTTTGTCCTTTATGATTAGGACCAAAAAAAAAACCCCACAAAAGAACCCAAACAAAACCAACAAGCTTTTTTTTATTATTTCTTAAATCCTAAGGATCTCTTCAGTCAGCAACCATTTGATTTAAACACAACAAAACTCTTATATTCTTTTTCTTTTCTTTAAACCATTTTACATTTATTCAAACACTTACCCAAGTAGGCTATGTCAAACTTGTTTACTTCAAAATAAAAAGTGCTCATACGGTTATCACAAAATAACTACCACGTAGCACCCCGTCACCACTTTGTTCACAGATTCTTAATCCATGGTAAACTGTGAGGTGATCTAAATTAGTTTAGCTCTCAAAGTCTGTAACAGAGCTTGCAGACAATAAGATACCAAACTACCTCTTAACCAAGACAATCGACTTCAGAATTTTAAAACTCTAAAGGCTGAAAAAGGGTGTCTAGAATTTGTTGAATTATCATAATACAGTCTTAGTAACACACACCCACATATAACAGTAATCCACCTTGCAATGAACACCACCACCACCTCTCAGGACAGTGAGTTATGCTGTTCTTTCAGCGGCTTCACAAGCAGCAGACTCTACATGTACTTTTACTTCAGAGTATGCAACACATCATCCATTGGAGACACTCTTATAATTAATACATTTATAGTTGCCACATTGCTACAAAAACAGGGAACTAGGTTTCAAATAGAATAATATTTAAAATAGAAATTTACAGACATTAAGAAAACTGTGCTGTAATAGGAACACACACCCAAGTTATCCCTGTGAAAACCTAGCACAGGAATCACTTTGTCTTCACTGAAAATCAGGCAGGAAGGGAGAACACTGCCAACCATATAAATTAACTGCAGCGTGTTAGTAGTATCAGTTTTCACGAAGGCATCCATCTACACACCAAAGCTGGTCTGTTAAATATAGTGTTAAACAACAGTATTATAAAGCCAACCAAAAAAGGTAAGTCTTCAATTCCTAAACAGAAAATAAGCCATGCAGTAAAATGGCAGCTCTTATTTTTCTCTGCATTTTTCTGTCTTGGCTCTGCTTAGCGTAACTCCCTTCCAACTGTACATGTTGGGTCTTGTTTACTGCACAAGAATGAGTTGGAAACTGGAGTTTGGGAAATCATATGTACCTAACAAAGGTTTGTATTTTCAAGGATTAAAATATTTTCTTATATAAAGAAAGCTATTTTTTATATTTATGAAATAACAGTTCAGGATAGAATCAAGACAACACCTCACTTTTAAATAAAACGTTGGATTTACCTGTCTTTAATGTTGGTCAGGTGTCCTCTCCAGTTCTCTCCTGGAATACTAGTGTGTATGGAGGGAAAGATAAATGAAAACATTAGATTTTTATTTATCAATACCTGAATTACACATAAAAAATAGTTTTATTTTGGTCAACATTTAGAAGTAAAAGACCAATCAATCATCCACCCTGCAAAGAAATACAAAGATTAATGTATAATTTAGCAATGCCTGAAAATATTATATAAAGAACCGGCATTTAACAACATGCAGAGAACTAACACCATCAGCCTCCCCAGCTTATGTTGTCCCCAAATACTAAGAAACATACAAATAACCAGGCTGCACTGACAGTTTTTAAGTTGCTGCCCTACACATTCATAAAGCAACTCAGAAGCCAGATGGGAAAGCAGGAACCAAGACTCCTAAGCAACTGTCATCCTGAGAGATTAAGAAAGATAATGCTCATACCAAAATGCTGCATTGGGACTTTCTGACTCCACATCATTATCATCACCACCACGACCACAGCCACCTCACGCTGCTGTACATACTCCTTTTTGCCCACAAGACCCAAAAGAGAATAGGTTATGGAACAGGAACAGCCACGCCAAGGTGCAGCTGCAGACACCTCTCCCTTTGGCGCTGTGTTTATCATCACAAGCTGCACAACCACACACGCCCTGGGCTTTGGAATAACTGTCCTGCTTCTGCCCTCCCTCCCCGCTTCTCATGCTGATGCACAGCAGTTCTTTAGCTTTCTTACCAAGACAACAGGCAACAGAAAATACTGCGATTCTTTGTTGCACACTCAGATCTCTGCATTGGATTTGGCTTTACTCACTACTAGAGTGCTGGTAAGTGCTACTAAGTGCTGAGTCAGTGCTGGGCTGCTCTTCAGGAAAATCGTTTTTTTAAACTAACACCTATTCAGTTGCACTCACAGAGCTCACTTCTGTGCTTACTGTACCACCAGTTTCCTTTGTCAACAAAAGTCACCTCCCAATCTACATCATTTTTGCAAGACTACCAGGGCTAGAACTTAGCAGATTCTGCTTCTTTTTGGGAACTCCATGTAAACTGCTACTTTATTTTCAACCACCAGCACATAGTGGTTCAGCACTAGCAGCTGGAATAGACAGGTAAAACTGAGCCTTTTCTACAGGTTCACAGATGAGAAGCCAGATGAGATAACTGATCACCTAGGTTCATCCCTCTACCATGGGCTTTGTTTCTTCTTCATGTTTGAAACGCTACTTTAGAGAAACACCCAACGCTAATCTTATGTCCATGAGTCTACCACAATCTTTAATGAAGTGTTCTAACAGTCAAACACAGCATTAAAGATACAAACAGGAGTTTGTCTGGCTTCAGCTTCAGCACTGGTTTGCCACTTTACACAGGCAATATACAGCTCCTCAACGTCCTCACTGCCCTTACAGTCTCCTTGCCAAGGACTTTTTATTACATTGAGATTCCTGCATGTGCAGCACACACCTCCAGGTAAGTCCTTCTCCATTCACTGGGAAACAACAGATTTTCACCCACTAAACCAGTTCACCTTGACTGAAGCCTACTCTGTCTGCTCCCTAGCTGTTCCCAGGAAAGAAAATAGCAGGGGACAGCGGTACAAACCGTTTTAATAATGATAGCACATTGCCACAGCTTTATTTTCCATCCAGGCAGACCAACTTGTAAAGTGGCTGTGTATCTCACATAAACTAAAGGCAACAGTTAAAACAAGTCATAGATGGGCTCACATACAACAGCACGACAAACATGCAGTGGGCTCAGGTGAACTCCACTGTGCATGTGCACCATAACTAGTTGTAATTTGTGGCGTCTGACCATCACTGGTCATGAAAACAAAATACTGTGCTAAAACAGAGAGCCTCCTATTAAGATTATTCCTCTCCTATTATTCTACACAAGTCAACACTTAATCTTGGTGTAACCAATCCTAAACTTGGTGCCTCTTTCCTTTAAAGAGAGAATCTATCTAATTTTCAGCACTCTGATACATTACAGGAAAAACCCTCATGCCTGTCAATATTCCTTATGTTCCAACCCCAGAAAGAGATGAAGTCGGATATTTTGGCCAGCCATGACCCATCACAATTTCCTACTTTCTTCAACAAGGAATAATATTTAACAGGAAAAATCTTTCAAGAAAAAGTGAAATCAGTAAGAATTTTACACTTTTATACTAATTTTGGACCAAAAATAAAATGTATCTTTTAGTGACAACGCGTCTCTCATGGAGAAGCAACGTGTTGAGGGATCTTATCAGACTTGATCTGTGGAATAAGCTGAATCCCATCCTCGTGAACTAGAGCTTTCTATTGAAACATTATTTACCTTTCAAACCAGAGCTTTATACTCCGCATAAATGTTTTGTGAGGGTATATTTGGTTGTCTCTCAAATATAAGAGGATACCAAACAGCTCTTTTTGTAACTCAGCACCTTTCATACCCCTGCAGAAGTCAAAAAAGGCCTGCAGGACATCCAAGGTTGGGACCAAATCCTTAGCCAACATTTCATGGTAAAGTTCAAATGCAAGGCTCATTTCTTGGTGACGGCTGGCTGCTTTGATACAGGATTCATAGTTTGTCCGTGAAGGAATCATAATCTTCTTCACTTCTTCCAAAAGAGTCAAGGCCATTCTCCATTGATCTGAATTACTCAGCCCCTTGATAAGAAGGTTGTAAGCCCCACTTTCTAAAATCTTAAACCTGATTTTCATTATATCATACACATCACGAATTTCTGAAGTCTGCCCCTGCTTGACACACAATGCCAGGTATTTGACCAACAAATTATATGTAACGTCACCATTACACTTTGCCACATGGGTCAGCAAGGACTTAGCCACATCAATGGGGCTGTTACACCTGACCATACTGTTAAACATCACTTCTTCAAATATTTCAGGTGATCGAAAGCTTTCCCTCAGTTTGTTCCATTCCTCAGCCTGCAAAGGTTTTTCTGGAGGCTGTACCTGGGTAAATTTATGCCTTGACAGAACTTGACTCAACTGTTTCTTTGGAGCTTCAACAGAAGAAGAGAAGTAGAGTTTCCCTTCAGATATTTCTTTAGTCTCCTCATTCCATCCTTTTTCCTCTTCATAATCAATCTCAGACCTCTTCTTGGTAGGAAAGACATCAGTTCCTTTGGGATCCACTGGTAATAAGGTGCTGGAAGAGGTCATAAAACTTAAATAGCTACCCTTTTCCCTGTTGAGGATGCTGAAAGAGAGATCAAACAGTTGGCATCTTGAAACAGGCCAGAACATACGACATTTCCAAAGCAAAGCCTGAAAACCCTGTTGACTACTTTGAGAAAAGAGTGCCATCGTAAGACTAAATCAGCTCACTATTAGCTACTGTATCCAACAAAGTTATAAAATGGAAAATGCAGTTTGCATGGGAACATTCATTATAAAAGCCCAAGGGCTGTCAAACTGTGTAAGCTTCAGTTTCCAAACGCTTGTTCTATGGGTCCTTTCTGCCTCTTAAAAAACCTCCAAAAATGGTGGAATATTTTTTTCACAAAAATCAATTTCTTAGACCATGAGAACATTCATCCAAAATGAGGGAATCTGTCTTTTTACAGAAGATGCTTTTCAGGTTTGAGGTTTATCATTTCCTTTTGTTGGCTACTGTAAAGATGAATGCTGAGTATGTTGTATGCAGACAGGCAACTGTGATGCAGTTAGGCAAAGAGTGCAGGTTATTTTTCTTCCTGCCTCCATCCAAGTCGAGTCAGAAGATTTCCTAAAAATAAAAATAACACCCCAGCATCACTGCCTGCTCCGAGCTTTCCTCTCATATTCACACGGGCACGCCAGCAAGCACAGAGCTCAGAGCACCTCGACAGTTTCGGGTCAGGAATCCCAGCCCTGCTCCCTGAGGCCGTCCCAGCGCGGGATTCCTCCCTGGGCTCCCTCACCCCTCCCGACTGTGACAAGCTGCCGTTTAACCGCTTCCCAACGGTAACCCCCGGT